CGCTTTCTTATTTGTTCCGCAGTAAAATGTAGTAAAATGCTTACGCTTCCTAGTTATATTCATTCAGTTTTTATTGCACTTCCGGAAACACCGGAAGTAAAGGTAAAGCGATTTCGTGTCCGGGAACACGAAATGTTACTCAAGGCATACTCTACAACCTCAAGAAAAAAATGAACACGATACTCTATTGAGTTCAAAAGATATAGCTCAAACTATTTTGTCAAAATTTGCCCTTCCATCACTTTGCCCTTACATTACGTCATGATGACGTAACAAAATTTATAACATCTTCGTAACATGGTACAAATTCACACTAGGTTTTATGATCATCCCATAAACCGTTCGGAAGAAATTTTGCTTTGTTTTAATTTTAGGCTAAGGATTTTGAATTCACATAACTTTGACCTTCCGGTAGACCCGGAAGTAAAGATCAATCGAGTTCACGTACACGACAAAAAATGTTTATCAACTAATGGTTTATCTGATTGCAAAGTTGAAACGTAATTGATCAATCTGTTTAAGAGTTATAGGTGAAAGTATTTGGCCACTTTTTCCTCTAAAATCGCTTGTATTTTGACACCCAATGACGCCATCATGACGTCTGAGTAATATGCACCACTTGGGACGAGGGTCCATATATGTTGAAAGTTACAAGTTCATACCAGTTCATACTCCGTTTAGGAGAAAAGCCGCGGAAACTTATTGTCCAGAAAAAAGAAAGAAAGAAAGAAGATTAATCGTAAAAACTCCAATCAGTGGAAGGGTTGTGCCCGACCACTCAAAAACAAATCAAACAAAACTTACACGGTTTAACGTTTTGATCCTAGCAGAATCATTGTCAGATTGTCGAAGGCAAAAAAAAATTGGACAAAAATTATAGTTATGAAAAATGCTTACCATACGAATGTACGGGTTATCACCCAGGCATGTCTGGCACAAAATGGGAAAGTCCTGTTAGAAAAAAAAAACAAGTTGATGTAGACAAAAAAACGTTAATGGGATCTTTTTTTTTTCAAAAGGCAAACTTCACAGATTTTGGTAGGCTAGAATTAGGGAGATTAAAAAAACATTAGAGGGCACTGTGCATTTGATTTTCTTAATTACAGATTGGGGCGGAGTCATGGGTGGAGTGACGTCAGTTTTGAAATTTTCGTGCCACTGCCGTGGGGAGGTGCGGGCGATGGACGCTAATTCATCCTCATAGTCATACTAGCATGACTAGCCTTACGACTTTCTCTACGAACATGACGAAACCACTTTAAAAACAAACGTAGGCCTAGGCCTATAAACTTTATCAAAAAATAGCTCAGGCCTCAGTTCCTACTAACTAGTCATGCTAGCATTGCTAGTCTGCATCATATTTTGCAGGGTTTAATCCTTACACTTTATAAAGTCTCATTCATCATCTACTATAGTCCCATAAATGTGGCCTATTTACTGGACTGCCTCCGTAAACATAGGCCACACATCCACATGTACAAAAATCGTGTCGACTTTGCCAAATTTTGATTTTCACATTTAGGCTTAGTTTGTAGGTTTTTTTTGCTTTAGAAGCATACTCACCCTCTTTATAGGCTAATCAGAAAGTGCTGCCTTTTTTCAGATGTATATTTTTCGTGAAATTTCCAGATTCATTTTTACACGTTTGCGTATTAAAATTTCAACATGAAATTTCACAAAAATTAGACATCTGAAAAAGGCAGCACTTTCTGACTAGCCTATAAAGTGGGTGAGTATGCTTCTAAAGCAAAAAAATCCAACAAACTAAGCCTAAATGTGAAAATCAAAATTTGGCAAAGTCGACACGATTTTTGTGGGGCTATACAGTACTGTACTGTTTACTGCATGTCTGCATAGTGCAGTCACCAACGTTCACCGCGTATGTGTTTGAATTTCTGAATGCACATGATGCAATACAAGTTGCAACAGCTTGCAAAGAAAATTGATGTAATCTGGTAATCATGCTGACTGACTGCACTGCTGACGAGTGCAGAGTCAGAGACCGAGTGAGAGAGTGCAGCAAACGTGACAAAGTCACTGGATCTGCACACAGCGCTTTAACTTCGAACATGTCATTTGGTACAAAAGGTTACTATAAACTATACTATTTCATATTAATGGCATGAGAAACTTGGGGAAATGCTTAGGCCCTACCGATTCTTCCCAATTTTGACGATTGTACGTGTTGGTACTTTTGCTGGCCGCCATGCTTGTAAATTTCACTGCGCCCTCTATCGAGAAAACGTTGATTAAAGAACTATAGAGGGCGCCATGGGTTTCCCGATTTCTTTCAATTGCATCTAGTCGGCCCTAGTCTAGCCCACTATAAATTTAATTTGACCGATGCCAAAGAAAAGAGTCATTAGAATATTTTCAGTTTTCTTCTGCAAGAGCCCCTGCGTTTGTTTTTGGAAACTAAGGGCAAGGTATCTTGATTTACTCTCATTCTATGCAAATCCGTTTTAATTTAATGAACCAAAACCTTCCCCGACACGGCTGCAGCACTTGAACCTTATTTACTGCGCGACCATTCGCCAAAAACTGAGCAAGACAAGATTGAGAGGCTCCTGTGCCAGAAAAAATTCCCAACCACGTCTTTGTTCAATTACTCATTTTAATATATTGATTTAACTAGTGATTCCAGTGGCGAATCTGTGGTGCAGGGGTGGGTTGGCGGTGGGTTGGGCTGGGTTGGCGGTGGGGGTGGGCTGGGTTGGCAGTGGGGGTGGGGTGGGGTGGGGTGGTGGGGTGTCGTTGCAACACTGTACCTCTTGAGGGTTTTGTTTTTCAGCCAACTATAACATTGCCGAATTTTCATTTCCCATCGTTAATGCAAGGTACAAAATAACTAGGAACAAAAAAGAAATGGTCCTGGAATATTCCTGTATTTGTACGTTATTAGCCATTGTCGTAAAGCAATTCGAGACGAGGACTGTGATAGTACTTTCAAGTGTTTTTATTAACGCAAAACACGGGCAATACAAACAGGGATTTGGCCAAACCTTCTACGCCTACGGCGTGGTCAATTCGCCCACGGTACGGCTAAATTAGAACATTATCATAATTATTTTTTAAAGGCTGCGAAGGACGAAGTATACATTATTTGAATGTCTAAGTGGTGGGCGAATTATTTAGCAGTTTAATGACAGATTATGTAGATAAATACTTCGCGTCCGTGACCGCTATCGTCCGGAAAAATTATGCTAATTGTCTGTTTCAGCTAAATGGTTTCTGTAGTAATATAATTTCGAAGTAGGCCTATAATTTTGTTTAAAAACAAAGAAGAAGAAGAAATGTTGGACCACACAGTGGATTAGGCCTTTTTAAAGATGTATCGTCCGTGCGCTAAAATCTTAATTTTTTTGGGCCTCAAAACTTTTGAAATTGTATGTTTCATACACATTGTAATGAGATAAGACCTATCTTTTTTCTATTTTGGGCGCCTGCAACCCTCTGAAAAAAAAGGCTATAATTCTTGGTTACTTGTTTCGCGTACTAACGGATCCGACCTGCTTGTAGACTGTTCCAAGTCTTTAGTTGATTTTTTTTAAAGGACGGGAACTAGTCTATCCCGCGGAGGGTGGATTATTGTAGGGCTGCAAATAATTCAAAACTGTGTGAAGTAATTATTCAAAAACATTATTTTCTCGTTCGTTTTTCTCGTTGGACGTCTTATTAAACATTGAATAACCTTTGTATTGATAGAAAAATAGCACTTTAAACAACAATTATTTTCGGGTTGAAACTCGAATACAGCATGGACAGTATACAACCTTGAGGTATGCATAGCCAATGTGATTTGAAACAGCTTCAAAGCATGGACAGCTGTAAAAATGGATTCTTTTAGTAAAAAAAAATAGTACAGTACTGATGGCATGGATCAATTTCAGTAATTCTTTTTTTCAGGAGCGGAAGAACGTGCTTAAGGGAAAATTCTAATCTCTTGTCACTTTTTGACTCACCCTGTATAATTATTACTGAATTAATCGTTCCAAGTGGGAAACTGCAGGTGTATAGCCGTTTAGTTCGAAACCACGGACTATATGATTTCTCTATACGTTAACTGAGCTGTTTGTTCAGTGTTCTGTGTTGTCGGTTCAAGTTCGATCATGCAGGTCAGCACGTGGTATCAGAGCCGGTAAGACGACACGGTTACGGGGCGGACTCATTCATCTTTGTAAGTGAAAAAAAATAATAATGCCGGATACATTACGGGGGCATATTGAGTTTGGCTGAGATCAGATTGTGATGTATATACATGTAGTAAGCAAGTTTTGGAATTTTGCACGATGTATAAACTAGTGAAGATTTACCGTAACACCATGTGGAAAATCTCCTTTGAGAAGAAGACGATCTCCCGAAGAAGATCATCAGAGCATAAATATACTGAAAAGAACCCACCGGTTCTTTTTTAGAACCACACGTCTTCTCAAAACAGATTTTTCACAAAAACCACCACTAGTTCACATGTAGTAAAATATACGTATATAGATGTGTCACGCTTTCACTCAAAGTACATCTGGCAACGATACTGCGAATTTCGAGTCTTTTATACGTAAAAAGAACATGTGAACCGACACAGGGTTTTGCCCAAGACATTTTATGTGTCTTTTATTTGAAACACCCAAACTATAGTGAGGTCGGCGTAATCAAAAACATAATCAAAAATTTGGCTTACGTTTACACACAATAATTATGAACAGAACAATGTGTGTACAGTCAATTGTTTTAAACAGTCACTTGAAAATTACGCTGATCATTTTTTTTTAACGTGATAATTATGATAATAAAGTATGGCGGTTATATTACTGGCCACGTTAACGTTTAGTGTTACTGAATATGCATGTCCTTATGGAATTCACATTAAAATATACAGGTCGGTTCATAGGCCCTGCTCAAGCGTATTCGAACCGAAATTTACCTAACGAAACGTTCAAGTTTAAAGTTGAGCCGGAGTTGAGCTTTTTACCATACGACGCGGTGTAGGCCTACTCTGTTGTGTCATCATCTAGATTTGAGCTTTATACAAGACAAGCTGAGCACGACACGATGAGCACGACACGCCATGGTTGGTACGCAGTTCTCTCTCTGCATGTCTGTTGGTTGCTATGGACTGGCCTTCTTAAAGGACTAGGAGTGATGTTGCCAACTCTTCAGGAGCAATTCAGATCACATACCTGGCTGGTTGGATGGATGGTGGCTATCATCAGTGGCGTCATCAATTTTATAGGTAATAGCAAAAAGGAGTAATTTTGCATGTCCGTTTTTGCGCTTCCATGAACAACAAAATTAAAACAAACTATTGTGTTGTGTTTTCAGGTGCAACGTCATTACATTCAAAGTTTTGGGGTTATAAGAAAACTGAAAATCTATACGTACTCGTACCAGGGCACGTATCTAAGTTATGTCGTTGTCCGTAAGTTACATTTTTGAGATTATAGTCGTCATGGCAGGAGGGCGATATAGTGAGTGGGTATTAACCCTAATTTACACACAGAGCCCTTCTATATAGTCTGTCAAAATAATTTTGGAATATTTCATAATTTCATTCATTTTAGGACCTCTTGCTGGACCACTGGAGTGTATGTTTGGCACTCGAGCTGTAGTTGCAATCGGCGGATTTTTATTGGGAGTGTCCATGATCGTCGCTTCGTCTACAACCAGTCTGGGACAGTTAACATTAATCTTAACACTTGTCGCAGGTAAACATTTCTTATGATACCCACAGTCCTGTACTTTTAAAGGCTTAACTTCGTGTTTAATTTAATAAGTATTCACCCTGCATGTGTCGCGAAGGCATTGAGAACATCACAACCCAAAAGACGTCGCACAAGTTTTTTTCTTCTTCTTTTTCATACTTATAACGCAGATAAATAAAAAAAATTCGTCTTTGCTATAAAACCCTTAAGTTCAATTTGGAATGTAGAAGCTTCTTATGATATACTGCATGTATAATATTATTGATAGCACATTTTGTGATTTACTTCTTGTTTTCCTACAGCGCCTGGCTTGAGTTTTGCCAATGTTCTGACCAGAGCATTGGTTGGTCGTTGCTACACATCAAACTACGCCACGGCTAACGGCATCGGAACATCAGGACACGCTGTTGGTATGATCGTGATGGCGCCCTTAACGCAACTCTTGCTAGACACATACGGTTGGAGAGGTGCTATAATGGTACTAGGGGCGTTGAGTCTACATCTTGGTGTGTGTGGTTTATTAATTTGTGAAACAAGGGATACAGAGAAAGATAACAATACCTATCAACCGATTAGAGGCATCTACGAGGATTTATCTCACAAAGATTCCACCCAACATTCGTTATTCCATTCATTCAAAGATGCCATCCTGTCTCTGAGTAGATATTTTGGAGTATCGGTCTTCTTGCAAGGCTCCTTCTGGATTGCCGCAGTCATTTTTGTAATTGCTCGCTTACCATGTGACCTGTGGCTTATCTACTTCGTGGCTTTAGCCCAAGCTAAAGGTTTCCCTGCCTACGATGCAGTGACTTTCACCTCAGTGGCTGGAGTGGGAAGCATCGTTATCTCAGTCTTTCTTGGTTATGTGGTAGACAGGGGGTTTGTGAAGCTGCGAATGGCGTTATTACTAACCATCATCTTAGATTCTGTGACACTGCTTGTCATTCCTTGGATGAATTCCTATTGGCTGATGATGGCTAATGCATTTGTCTGTCTTGGTGCGCATGGAACCACAATCTCATTCTCTGACGTGTACATCCGGGAAATGGTAGGAACGAAACACCTCATTCACGCTTTCAGCTGGACTGAGTTGATGTCCGCCATTTTTACAATATCTTTGGGATTCGTTCCGGGTAAGGAATGCAACTAAATCAAAAGACTTTTATCCTGTATGCCTATGAAGCACCTTTTGATTGGCCGAACTTTACAAAGAAAATAAAACTAAAGCAAACCTTTTCGTATGAGTTTTTAATTGACTAGTTTAATAAATTGAGGAAATCATGTCGTCATATTGAAGACTTAATGGAAACACAGAAAAACTACTACACCAAATGTACAACTGGAAATTGCATCTGTAATTTAGTAACGGAGCCGCACAACCGGTCTCCTAGAATCTATAAACTCAGCCAATTATTAGATCACAATGTTGGCCTTTCTGATATTTCTTCCCCCCTTTTTATTTGACAGGTTGGATTTACGACCAGACTGGGAGCTACGACCTTGCATTCGTCATCTTGGGATGTATATCAGCTCTGCCGTTGGCGGCGCTATTTATTGAATGGGGACTAATGCATTGGACATCGTCCTCAAGATGACACCCCACATATAGAGCTATTCTTTGGGACAGGCATTTTACAATGACCTCATCCATCAGGCCTATGGTTGAAGACAAGTAAATTATTAAATGCTTTTTCGGTTGATTTTATTGGCTTCTAGAACGCCTTTTAATCCATCCGAGTCGATGCTTTCTTAGAGATACAAGAAACGTCAATATTTATGCGCTCTTTTGTATATGTACAGACTATTCTAATGGGAGTATTAAAATATCATCCAAAACTGAAAGTAAACGTCTGTTAATCTACAGCTACTCACAACATAGGGCCTATGCATCATTTTAAAATCAATATTTGTCAGAAAAATATCACCCAAAGCTGATATGAACAGCACATGAACAAGGGCGGATCCAGAACACAATTTTTTTTGGGGGGGGGGCCAAAAAAAATTTTTGGTCCCCCCCAAAAAGTGGGTCTAAAAAATTACGGCGTGGGGTTCGGGGCCCGCTTAAGGGCCCCGAATTCTAGATGCTCTGTGGTGCGATCTGAGGCAATTTCTGACCACTTTAACCAATTTATTTTGAGGAAAAGATGGTGGTGTACTCATTGCCTGCCTTTATTGCGATGTCACATTAAAAAAAAAAAAAATGGTTTCGTTTTTGGGGGGGGGGGGGGGGGGCCATGGCCCCCTTTGGCCCCCCCCCCTGGATCCGCCCTTGCACATGAATAGTCCGATACATTTAGTTACTTTTGTGAATGTTCCATGTCTCAGTCTTTGGACACATTCGCTGATAAAGCTCACGTAAAGTTAGAAGGGGGATATGGGGGGGGGGACGCTAGCCGTCAGCATCAGAAACTCAAAATGTGCCGCGGTGTTATTTGATACTATAGGGGCACTCTTTTTCTCCTTTTTCTTCCATTTTTTTTTAAATTCATATTTCACAAATGGGCATAAGTAAATCAACCGCGGACTTCTTGTAAGTTACAAGACAGCCCTCACAGAAAGTATAGAGACAATCAAGTAGCTTGGGTATCTGGTATCTCTCATGACAGTACTACACTCAAGGTGAGAGCTGATCTTGCTGAACACTGTCGCAGTAGAATCAACTTCTTGTGCCATTTTCTCCTTTCCAAAAATGCTGTAAGGGTGGATTGAAGACACGGATAATACCGATTACAATGATGAAGATCAGCCAGCAACTCAAAGTTTCGCACCAAAAATATTTTAATTTAATTTTCTGCAACTTCCTTTGCAATTGCCTTTAAACCAATCCAAATTAAATTGAAAAAAAGTGCATAATATAACTCAATATTATTTTTGTTACCATAAGGTAACCACAAATTTCGTTTAAAAGTTTCTACTGATTGACTGGAATAGGCCAAATTTTGGAGCGAATGAGATCGGTTTTCTGGGAAAACTAGAAAACTAGAAACAGTTTGGGTAACTAAGGCTACAAAATAAAGGTCACATGTAATTTTGAGCTGTAACAATATTTAAACGTATATCAATAATCCTAGATTCATGTCTATTTATACCCTGAAGGACGTCGCTACAAACAGCGCCCCCAATTGTACAAGAATGAGGAGGCTTAATGATACAGTTATAGAGTTATATTTAACGGGCTCATGCAATTAAACTGCAATCCTTGAAAAGGTACCCCTGCGTCCCATTTAACCTTATTTTCAATTTTCGTGTTTCCATTTTCAAGGGTATTTTGGTGCCTTTTTGGTTTTTATGCAAATTTCCATATTCATGAGCAAAAATGTGATGTTATTTCAGCATCAAGAGTTGGCAGAAATTTGGATATTTTGCTGTCATAAATTTAAACTTCTGCTCTTTGCTGATTCGTTGTGTCAGTTCATGGCAGTAAGCCAGTGGTGTAGCCAGGAATTTTTCAGTTGGGGGGGGGGGGGGGGGGGGGGCTGGAACATTAATATCAGGGTGCAGCATATAGGCCATGTAGATCAATAATAATTCTTTTAGAAACTCAAAATCTCAGTGGGGGGCGACCGGGGGGGGGGGGGGGGGGGCGGGGGGCGACAAGGTTTCATTGGGGGGGGGGGGGCTGTCGCCCCCATGCCCCCCGTGGCTACGCCACTGCAGTAAGCTAATGACCAAACTTTTCTCACACATTTTTTCAAAGAGCAAAATTTTGGTGCACAATTTGAACAGAATATCCGTAAAATTAACAAAAAGGGAATGTCAAATGGTTTTTCTGCATTGTAAGAGTAGAAAGTTGTATGTACAAAATCAGTTCAACTCATGGACACTCTAAAAAAAAATTGAGAGCACATCCGCGTGTGCGCATAGTATACAGCAAGTGCGCCCTCAAGTTTTTTTTTAATGAAACTCTATGGATACAGTCCACTACCGCCCTCTATCAACCGTTCTCCTGGAAACCTGTAATGAAAACCTATCATCTGATACATTACAACATCGAACGCAAGCCCTTTCATCAGTATTATAGGCCTTTCTTTTGTTTGTAAACATCGGCGCCATTTTGTATGGGCTGCTGTAAGCGCATAAATTGAAGCCGTGGTTGGCAACATATTTTTCCCCCAAAAAGCCTAATAACGCCATCAACACATAGTAAAAAAGCATGTGTAGCAATTATTTTGTAGCCTTGTTGAAAATGTTGTATTTTCAAGTGTCAAATAATATTTTGGTGATCTGTAATAACTCTTCTTCATTTTTGCAGTGTCGGACCTCCCATAGTTTTGCAGGCCGTGGTTGGCACAAATGCAGTTTGCAATCCAAGCGCAGAAAGGTCTATTGTACCCGTCGGCATTTGTTCACTACCCTTGGCCTTTCACCCGACCAGGTCGTGGGGCTCGTGCAGGCAACAAAGAAATATGGCAATTTCCCGCCAGCGTATTTTTTTTGCAGCATACATCGTATTTTAACCAATCACATCAGGCACCCCGCTAACATGAATATTTATCACGCTCGTCGCTATGTGGATGGAAGACGCTAATGTTCTCGTGGTGTTTTTCCTTCAATTAAATTTATACCAACCAACAAACATATTTGATGAAAATTGACATGGGCCCCGAACCACACATCTTGCGATCTATAGTTCATTCCACTGTCCCGGTGTCACGGTCTCACTTCTCCGGCGTGCTAGCTTCTCCGAAAGGGAAATTTCGCTTCAACGCGCATGCACAAAATTGCACAGTGGTGTACATTTTCGTCAACTTTATTTGTGTGCTGAGTTCTTCGGGGTTGTACTGCTGCACGTAATATCTTAGGATATTTGTATGCATTGGTTACAGGGTACTAGTCGAATCCAGAATTTTCGTGGCGCGCACAACTCCCAATATGAACCAAAAAAGACTTGAAATGCACATTTATTTAAAGCCTCATGGTTGCAAAAATAAAGACAAAATGGACCACGAACGAGCAAGGAACACGGACCAAGGAGTTCGTTTTTCCATGAACACAACATGCATGATGCTGGGAACACAAATCAGAATGCTTGCAAGACCATGGAATGACTTGACCCACAGGAAGTGTTACATAACACATTCTTAGGTGTCCCTCATGAATTTCCTCCCTCATGGGCTTGGTACTAGACTTCAGAATACAGCCCGAGGAAAAGTAAGCACAGCGGACACATGAGCATGTATCGTGCTCATGTGACGTGCACTGTAACGTGCTCAACTGTCCGCCGAATCGACCCGGAGAAGCTAGCACGCCGGAGAAGTGAGACCGTGACACCGTCACTAGGCCACTGTGGCAGCTCGACGAAAGCCGTTCTTTAACCCTGCGCGCAGCGTTTACAAGAAATTGTTATCCGAAGTCGCCAACTGCGTACCTTTGGGACGCAGGTACTCCCCCCACTACGCAAGACCCTATCCATGTCAAAACAACAAAAAGCCATGTGCCAGACAGTGTCCAGGCATTTGCCAGACAGGGCACTTAAAAGATAATTGACTGGTGGCTGCGGTTTGCGGCTATGAAGGGAGATGGCTGTGTCAAGTTACAGGTGTTTGTATAATGTTTCAATGAGACTTGGCAGGAGGCCTGGTCCCAAGGTTGTTGACACCGCTCGGGTGAAACCCTGGCTGCAAAGTTCATTGAACCAGCTGATTTGGCATGGGTTAAATGAGGATTAGATGGAAGGTGAACGTCATTGTCCCTCTTTTTTTTCTCCAAAAAATCGGTCACCTGCGTACCCGGGGTACGCAGGTCACTCTGCGCAGGGTTAAAATGCTTTAATGTACATGCATGACTGAGTGATATAGCAATGGTGTAACGTCATTGTTATTTTCTTGAACAAAAATACGAATGAACAAACATCGAATAGCTGAATATTCATGATGCACTGACGAGTAACAGCCGTTGACCAATTTGTTGTACGCAGTAATCATCCATTTCCCTTATACATGAAAAATATGTAGTATCTTTTGAGTCACTTTTCAAAATGTTTAACAATAAGTCAACAATTAATGGGCTCTAATAAATACAAAAAAATTCAGCGCTACATTCTATAATAGTTCCGTCCCTAAAACTGACCATATTAAAATTTTATGCCACCAAGTACCATGGTCTGTGCATTCGTTTCTTTTTCTTTTTGGCCTTACTGCATGTTTGCTGTCTGAATTGATGAGGTGAGCGTGCCCCCAAAAAAGCCCACTAAAATTACTTTTTATCATTTTAGTACACAAAAATGCTTACACGTGATGACCAAAGATCAGCAGTATCCTTCAAGGTGTTTAAGGTGAAGACATGTTTAAGGCAAAAAAAAAAGTCTCGGTTTCTGGTATGCGCGCGCGTCGCCGTAGCCATGCGCGTCGGCAAAATGAAAAAGGTTTATATTCGATGAAAGATGATGTCTCAAAACCGCCAAACTCACTGGTTTGACTGGAATCCTGCTGCTGCACAATTTTAACGTGTTTTTAGATTGGGTTATGGTCGAGAATAAGCTTTATGTGGCCTCTCTGGACTCCCATATATTTGCACTAAGTTTAGTCGGGCACCATTTGCAGTCATCAGCCGACATTTGAAGCAAAAAAATCAGGTAAAAAAAAAAAAAACGCCGCGTCGCCGCACCACTTTTTGGGCAAGCTCCATACCAGAAACCGGAGACTTTTTTTGGCCTAAGTGATGGAACGGAAGTTTATGAACAATACCGTAACCGCAGATGTAAACTGTCCCCACGAATACTCGAATAGGTTCCGGAGACACACAAACAGTCAACGCTTGTCTGAATGGTGCACAAAACTTAACAGTCAGTGTTCGTAGGGTAGGGCTATGTACTATGTAGGGCCTATATGCCGCACCCTGATATTCATATTCAAATGAAATGAGTGGTGTTGCACACATTAAGGGGAATTCCCTTCCTGACGAAATAGAAATCACCTGATGCGGGAAAGGGGGATTCAAATACAAAGCATTAAAGCTCTAGTCAATGTTTAACACGAGGAAAAGTTAGTAACTTATAAAAAAGGCTACAGGTTCATCTGAGTCAACAGCACACTATCACGAGGGCTTTGAATTCCGGAATTCTTTTTGAACTTTTCGTTCAATTAAAGAGGATTTTTTTTTCTTTTCTATTTGCTCGCGATTTTATGGGCAGATGTTGTCCACATCATTTTGCAACGTCTGCTGTCATGTTAAATTTCAAATTTATTATTTTACAGTACTTCTCGGTGAAAACAGATGCGAGCTGTTTTCATCAAAAAGGCTTCTTAATTATTAAAATTGTCAAATAAACCCTAGATAAACAACATGAAACGCTATGTGAAATGAAAACTAGTGAAATCGAGACGGATCGTCGCTTCGTTGACGTCTCCAGTTTCGATGATCTATTACAAACGATAATTATTTTGGAGCTTTGGTTTCATTTTTTAATTTCATATCAATGTAAGTAAATATCTCGAACAAGGTCTATGGTATAAATGACATCCAGCCTGTTGAAAGAAAAACAATTAAACATTCAAAAATAACTACATCCATTATCAGTAACATAAACTACAAAGTTAACTTGGATATGTCCCTCTATCAGCTTAAAAACCCACCGACATGTATAACTTTATATCCGTGTGTAGTATTTGGAGCCTTTATGCGTTTGTTGGCCATCTTTACTGGATGTTCGAAGAAAAAAAAGGAAAAAAGGAAACGTTGTGTGTTTATTGTCCTAATGAATATTTATATTCATCGTCTTGATGTGTACATGTTTATTCATGAATTATCATTGGACATCGCACTTTATACTGCGAACTTTTGCTATGCACAGTGTACATGTTGTTGAGTTTATTGTACCACGGACCATTGATTGTATATAGTGCATTTTTCACCGTTCACACGCAATGTGAACGTGACCTGTTTGCAGGAGTACATAAAGTAGCATGTCCAGGGGCGTAAATCCGGGGGGGGGGGGTATATCACTGATCATGTCCTTAATTTGATGGAGTTTTTAAAATTTAGCATTGATGAAGCTTTACCATGAAGAAAAAATATTTGATTTGAATGGAACAAAACTAAAAAGGCCTAAGTAAAACAAAGGTGCGATCAAACACAATGCGTCGTTGGCCATTCGCATTATTATTCTTTTTGGCAAAAAATTACGGGACGGAGGCCACTATCTGGATTGAAAGATTTGCCGTTATGGGCTCCGTGCGCCAACAAAAGAGGGCGCTAATTTACCACTTTTGAGATCCCCGTGGACAGGACACACCGTGCGTGCGTGTGCGCAAGTACGCACGACTTCCTGAATGTGCCCAGTATGGTCTCCTGGACTAATTCCCACCCCAAATAACTTTGGATCATTCGAAATACGCAATGGATGGACCGGGAACCAGTCTAGGTCTCCACCAACTCTCCTTTTCTGGCCGTTGAAGGGGTATACTTGTGCACGGAGCCCTATATGCAGTTAAATAAATACTTGTGGTTTTTCTTGTTTAATAAAGTACATATACATGCACCCTATTTTGAAACCACCGTCAGTGTTAGTTTTCTTCAAAACAATACCATTTCAGGTGAAGTAATTTCACATGGTATTTGACACTAATCTAGCTACACTTTGAGCATTAAGCTTTCTTTCAATAAATCGGTGGGTACTTTTCGGGGTCACATTTGCAAAATGTTTGTCCTACGTACCTTGAACTTTCTTTCCATACGACCCATACAGCGATTATTAGTCATGCGATATAGACATGCGCACTTTTCTTTTCTTTTTGCAAGTATTATGGGATACACGCCTTTCTGCAGGTTATAAAAGCATACCCCATTTCGCCACTCCCTCACTCTGGTGTCTGGTCTCGCTAGCGTTCACTAGGTTTGAGCTCAATTCTTGTTAGAGATCGTTTTTCCTTCCGAGTTTCTGAAATCAAGAGAAGAAGAATGTTTCGCTGGGTAGCTGCTGCTGTCTTGGTGCTGGGACTTGTGGGGTTCCAGATCGCCGACGCCATGAACGAGGTGAGTTGGTCACAGTTCTTCTTTCAATCCCCTCCCCCCCCCAAAAAAAAAAAAAACCCTTACGGTGATCATAAAGTTGATTTCGCGTAGTGTAAAGAAGAATATTTTTTGCCACATAACCAGACCACAATAGATGACCACAACCGTCCGTATTAATGGTCAGGGGTTTCACAATCAGACAACTCCCAAGTATCGTTAGCCAAATAATGCTGGCATCGATTCATTATAACGGTTAATTATTCTTTTCCAACAAAGTCACAAATCGCAAATTGAATTGGTTAATCGGAAATAAAAAAGACAAAATTTGGCATAGATGATGGTGATTCATTCTATTATTGTTGCGGCATCGTTGTAATTAACAATTTTGTCTTTCCTAAACGACTTTGAGACGCAGAAGTAAATTAAAAGTATTTTTTTTCCAGATATTTTCAAAAATTGTTTTTAACGGAACACTGTGCAATCGACTTGGATTTGGCAAATAGTGATTTCTTTACCTTTAACTTGGTTCGATTCCAGCAAGGTGTCGACCTCGGCTTTTGAGTATCAGTCAGTCCCTTGAAACCTTTTTATTCTTGCCGGATTCTAGCTCTGCTCTTTTTTTTCGTATCTTTTGCCTGATCTGCCTGAAACACCGTTAATTTGAAGACTAAAATAATATAAAATAAAGTGATTTTAAAGGCAATAACAATGACATACCATCTATGAAATGTCTTGTGCCGCTATACTCGGAAAGGCATACACCTGACTATACGATACGGGAATATTTATAAAGACATACTATTTTTTGTAACCATGTTCTTGTAAACGCGATAATCAATGCATCTATACATTATGCTGAGTTTAAATTTCTTTTGGATTGTATCCCCCGACTTTACCTCATGCATTTGCCCTCAGTATGGACTCAATTAAAACATTTCTATTGAGTTATCAAAAGTATAAACCATTCGTTTATATGTAAACCATTCATTTAAGTATCGACCGTGTTGCCCCTCCCCCCCCCCATTTTTTCGTCCCCGAATAAAACTGTAGCCTATATATGAGTTTATAGCTCAGAATAGCTGATTCATTGACTCCAAACTCGAAACTGAGGTTTAAATGTTAATCTTTTGCTAAAACAAATTGTAAATTGTAAGAAATTATACCTCAGATCACACCACAGAGTGTTTAGAATCAATTTTTTTTTCAGGGTCGTTAAGCGGGCCCCAAACCGACCCCACGCCGTTATACAGGCTTCACCGGCTTCGCGCTCCCTTTAGCTCTGATCAAGGTGTGCCCCCCCCCCCCGGCTCCCATACTTTTGAAAAGCGATTGACGTCTCGATTCATGCATTACAATACAAAGTGCTGTAACCACAAGCGAAAAAAACACCTTGACGTTGCAAAAGATCCTGCAGCTTGACAAACTGAAGCAATTCAAAAGATTTGCCCCATTATTCAATTCAAAGTTGGCCTTACCCTAACAGCCTTGAAACCATTCAGGTTTCGTGGGAAAGGATTTTGTGGCAAACATTGGCCAGGGACGGGCATTCATTCCTGGCAAACATGACCTTTGAGGCATGCAAGAGTGATTATTGTTAGCAAAATAAAAACCATTCACTATTATTGAAAAATCCATTAAAGGTGGTCTGAAAATCCCTAAAGGCACGTACGTTTTCTTACCTCCAGGTGTCTAGACATTTAAAAAAAAATCATGGCAGCGCTAACAACAGCAATCAATTAACACTGAGGGACACCTGAACTTACCATGATTGGAGGGACGGGGGAGGGGAGTCCAAAAGGGACAAAAACACACAGTTTTCCCCCCACAAAACACAATGTGTCTTTAAGTTGTAAAAACATCGGTGAAGGTGAATGGATCGTGTAAAAAATCTGTAATGCAATGTACGCACTATAGTCTGAGTATCAGTCGTTGCCCAGCTGAGCCTTAATTCTCTCTCTTTCTCCGGTCAAGGGCGGATCCAGAGCACAATTTTGGGGGGGGCCAAAAAAATTTTTGGTCCCCCCCAAAAAGTGGGTCTAAAAAGTGGGTCTAAAAAATTACGGCGTGGGGTTCGGGGCCCGCGAGGGCCCGAAAATTTTTTGGATTCTAGATGCTCTGTGGTGCGATCTGAGGCAATTTCTGACCACTTTAACCAATTTTTTTTGAGGAAAAGATGGTGGGTGTACTCATTGCCTGCCTTTATTGCGATGTCACATTAAAAAAAAAAAAAATTGGTTTCGTTTTGGGGGGGGGGCCATGGCCCCCTTTGGCCCCCCCCTGGATCCGCCCTTGCTCCGGTCCAACGTCTGATACATCTAGGCATGCAAATTTATGCGACCCCGCGCGCCAGCCAATTGGAGTCCACACGACGTCATTTCATTCCATAGTCTGGACTAAGCTGTTGATTGGTCAATTTGGATGCCAACAGCGGGCATAGAGATATAATAAAAAAATGGGGGGGGGGGGGCCAAAAATGGTTTCGCTTCCGAAAAGTGGGTCCAAAAAGTTTCCGCCCCAAGTTAAACATGAAAAGCAAGGGAAGGGATGAAAATGGTTTTCTTTTCAAAGTTTTGTGGGTGGTGTACGCAATGGCTGTCTTTTTTGAGACGTTGCTTTAAAAAAAAATGCGTTCGTTTGGGGGGGGGGGGCATGGCCCTGTTTTTCTTTTTTGCATAAAAAAGGACATTCCCTGAAAAGAGCTGTCCAAACACGAACAAGGTTATCGTTATTACTAGAGAGTGGGAACACTACAATTATGCATGACGTACCCAGAACTTAATTATTTTGGGGCAGCTAGCAGGGCTCACCAATCCCTTTCCGATCGACCGTTATGGCAATGTCGATACGCCAATGTTGGAATATCAGTTTCATTTAACATAACAAATCTGTAGGATCAGATTCACTTTATTTCTTAAATCAAGAGTTGCAAATTGTATTGTTTGTTTCTAAATGTTTGATTACATTTTCACAGGATGAAATGGAGTTGCTTGAACGTATGCTGGAGAGAGCTGAAGAAAAGAAGGTGGCAGGACATAAACACATCCATATTTTTAAATGAACAAGGAAAAAGAATATGTAAAATAAATAACAAAGATCGGCCAGCGTTCTGATTTTTAGGCGCGAATAAGTAGTGCACGCGCTCCACCTGAGCGCCAGAGTGAAACGCCACTGCATCATCACGCAGCTTTAATACTTTCATTTCTTTTATAGCTGGTGATAACTTGTCCTATATCGGTTCAGTAATCTTTTCTGCCGTTCTCTGATTTTGTTTTCAATGAAGGCGGCCAACCTCTCTCCATCGTGGGTAAGGTGACATGGCAGAGTTCTTCTCATGGTAGTTTTCTATACCCATCGTCAAAGGCCGTAGATGGAAGCTCCTCGACCGTCCTGTATCCCGATGCCAAATGTTCTCACACTGGTAAGAGACTTCCGTCTTTGGAGTACCAAACCTAACGAACATTACAAAATTGAGGTGTCAACCGGCCTAGTAGAATGCGACAGTTATTTTTATTATTTTGTTTCAATCCACAATAAAATGATTTTAAAATATGACATGTTTACTTTGTTCCATTATTTCTTTTTCACGAAGAAATATCTAAATTAACAGTTAAAATAGGTAAATGTGGAGGAGGCAAGACCGAGGATGTAAATAATTTTATTATCACAAACAGTTACTTAAATACTCCTGAAAGAAATCAATCTTACTGAAAACAATGGACACCTTTATGGCACTTTCAGACAGTCATTTCTAGTTGTTTTCGCAACATCTCTGAAGTATATGCAATCGGCAATGTAAACAATCGACACAAATGAATTCGTCTTCAGGCCTACACAATATTTTACTTATTTTAACAATGTTCTTTTTACTTTCTGTCGCCCAGTTTCCAATTCGGAAAATCCGTGGTGGATGGTCGATCTCGGAGGGGAACACTGCATCAGCAAAGTCAACATTCTGAACCGTGGAGACTGCTGCAGTAAGTCATTATTATTAAACCCAAGGAAATCATGCGATAATTATGGGAATAATAGATAACCATATTACTTCCTGACCTCATTGCTCAAGGTTTGGGCTGTCCAATTTTAATTTATTTTCTTAACTGCGGACGATATTGCTGAAAATGGCTTGCAGTACACACCCCGTGTCCGAGAAATTGTGGCAACTTCTACCGTTTCATCCATGGTCTGTTTTGTAGGATTATAGGTCCATATATTAACAGCACCAAACCCGTTTTTGTATTATGGAAATTTAATTTGCAGGCGAACGTTTGCAAGGAGCTAATGTCCGCGCTGGTAACAGCCCCACTGCTACCGACAACCCGACCTGTGGCTCAGCTGTCACCGCTGCCCAAGCCAAACCACTCGGTGGTACCATCCAGATGGATTGCCCTACTCCGTTGAGGGCGCGCTACATCAGCGTTGATATCCCCCGTACGGGCACCTTGCAACTTTGTGAGGTCACTGTGGAGGAACTCCCCCTGGACCAATGCAAAGTAAGTTTCATCAATAGCCGATGTGGTTCTTTTCCACAGTTGTTGGACCAGAAGGACCAGTCAACTGTGGTGTTTTTTTAACTGACTGATGGCACTTGAGTGAGTGACCGACTGATTCAGAATCTTAAAATGTTCTAAAATTAGAAGTCTGAGCCCAGCTCGACTATTACTATTAGCCGAGTCTTGTAAGCAACTTTAAAATGTTTATCCAGTAAGTAGGTTCTCATAATCGCTTTTTTTGGTTCACCAAAGCTATCTCGGCGAATCAAACAAGTCACTAAAAAGATGTCGCGTCCCGTTGGAAAGTTCGAACCTCTTTTGTCCATACTTGAAAGTAGCATGCCATATCAAATTCATAATTTGAGGTTTTAAGTCCTACAAACGTCTTTCTTCTCATAAATAGCGGAGGCGTTCAGTATCGTTGACCATCCAGCCTCGCAAAGCTCTGAACAAGGCTCAGGACGATATCCAGCGGGCAAAGCTGTTGACGGTAGCTCATCGACCATCATGTACCCCGATTCTAAATGCTCACACACAAGTAAGATGAATCCTCGTTTAAAACATCGACCAATCAGAGATCCATGTTTGGCTCATAAATATGTTCGAAGTGTAAAAAAAAGCATGACCGAATGAATCTCATTTGAAACATCGACCAGTGAGAGAAGCGAAGTTGGCTCACAAATATGTATGAGGTGTAATAATAAAAAAAATCGTGCATGCATGCATCCTCATTTGAATCATCAAACAATGAGATAAGTGGGTCTTGCTCATTTTATGTATGAAGTGTAACAATTTCCACTAAATATCACGACTGAATGAATCCTCATTTGAAACATAGACGAAAGAGAGAAATGGGTTTGGCTCAAAAATATGTATATAGTGTGATAATTTCCACTAAACATCATCTGCGGGTTGGCGTGAAAGAGAAAAAACACAAAAGATTCAAATCACCACAACCACACACAGTCACAAAAGACTGTCCATCTCTTATAAAATGGCACAACACATACAAAATAATACTGGTTCTAGCTGGAATAACGATTTGTTGATTTTTTTTTTTAAGGTCAGGAGGAGAATCCCTGGTGGAGAGTCGATCTCGGTGGTGAGGAATGCGTTACCAAGGTAACCATCCTGAACCGTGGAGACTGCTGCAGTAAGTATAACAGTATCTTCACTAAAGTCACTCGACGCAAAAGTTGGGATCTTTACAGAGAAATGTGACTCTTTGTTTCTTGCGTATGCATACAACGATGCCTTTTTGGTGGCTTTACTAGCTCTACTCACAAATACCTCCCAGTACATTTTTTTTTGTATTCAATCCACAAAAGTCATGTTGAATTGTTTTATAATGTACAATTTCTTTTTTTACAAGATAAGCAACGAATGTCCACATTCACTGAAGTCAGTAAATTTACCCTGTAATTTATTTTGGCTAATAACGATCAATAGCAATATTAATTGACAGTTTGAAATACAATGTATTAAGTCCTTTTCTTGAACAAGCTACAAACCTAACAGATAAACAAAACAAAAAATTACAAAACAAAAGCATGACAGGTATCATCCTTTCAATTGCTATTCCGTTCTTTTAATTTATTTACAGGTGAACGTCTGCAGAACGCCATTGTTCGTGCTGGGTCAAACGAGACCCCTATTGGGAACCAGGCATGCGGGGCACCAATCACCGCCGAACAAGCCCAACCATTGGGCGGTACAATCGCGGTTGAGTGCGGTCGACCGCTGAGGGCGCGCTACGTGAGCGTCGATATTCCGGGCACTGCAGTTCTTCAACTCTGTGAGGTCTACGTTGAAGTGCATTCTTCCGGACAGTGCTAAGAATATTCACCGTCACCTCGTCACCCGATTTCGAATTAGACCCGTTTAAAAATCATGACCCGACTACGAATTATTTTACGATAACGAATTGAGCCTGTTTATTATTATGTTTTTTAATTGGTGGATGGGTTCTTCCTTGCTAAATTCTAAATAAAAGTAAACCTAACAAGTGACTTTGTTGTTTGCCTGAATGACGCGTGAAGGTGATGTCATACAGAGCCAAGTTCTTTACTTTGTCAACGATATGGTTCGACATGTCTGTAACTTCCCACAAGAAAATTCACATCGGACTACTCCTAAAACGTTTACCAATTATCAGTCCTAGGTTTGACGACTGTCTCAGTACATGTACATTGAATAAACTTTGGTTAATTGATTGGACTATTCTGAAATTTATTTGGAATATGAAAATAACTCAAGAAATGATCAGTCAGATTGTTTCTCTACCCTGACTTTGGTGATTCGATTTCCACAAATTCAGTTTGTGATTGGTTTATTTTTGTTTAGCTAACGATACGAGTTGAAGACTACATCGCTTAAAGTTGGTGGTGGTTAAGGTCTTATTTTACAGCGTTTTATTGCAACTTTTATTTGTGATTGGTTTATTTTTGTTTAGCTAACGTTACGAGTTGAAGACTACATCGCTTAAAGTTGGTGGTGGTTAAGGTTTTATTTTACATCGTTTTATTGCAACTTTTTTTCAAAACTTTTTAACGCAGTTTTCATTGCTTTATTACTGCTCTTTTATTCTTTTTAATAATTTGGTGCATTCTTTTGAGTAATAAAAAAAATGTTTACTAGCATGACATCCCTTCTCTGATTTATCTATATTCTTAAAAGTGAGGATGTAAAGGATCATAGTAAAACTTACTACTTGGAGGCGACCTGACACAATTCATGAAGAAAAATCATTGAGATGTTCCGGCGTCCAATCAAAGTGTTCAAATTAATTTCCTCCATTCTTTCCTTCAAACGTTACTATATGGTAATTTGTATGTCAAGGATATGTTTGTTGCAAGACAAGTGCACCTTAGTTTAAAAATAAAATCTGACGCGTGCATTTTGGCATTGATTTGGTAGGGCCTACTTAACTTAGCTATACTATTATAGGTTGATGAAAACAATTCCTCTTCAGCAATTTATGGTTGTAATCAGAGGCATATTAGTCGTATATGAACTCATTGCCGGTTGCCATTCACACATTAAATGGCTTTGTTTTTGTATGTTGGATGCACTAGTGTAGCGCTGTACTTTTAAGTACTAGTCCGATTGCACACTGGATTACACAACATTGCTCCATACGTGGTACGGAAGCTTCGCAAGGAATGTTAAATATTTCCCCTCGGCCGCAAGAGGCAAAAATATAAAGTGCATGCAAAGTGAAGATCAGCCAACAAGAATTACGGCCAGTCCTGCAGCCAATCTTGTATATTATCATCGTCTTTTTGGTCGCTGGTTTTGTTGTCTGAACGAAAAAGTGTTGCCTCAAGATGTTGACCTGTTGCAACTGGTCACCTTCAGACTCTTGAGGGCGCAGCTACTCCAGTGTCTATTTCGAAGTGAACACGGCGATAAAACATGTGCCGATTACGATCAACTTCTCCAACTGAACATTATAAATAAATGACCATTATAAATAAAGTTCAACCCCAGAAAGGTCTATTTGTATAGATGAAACTTGGCCCTGACGCTTCACAATGAAAATTGACTGGAGACTTAATATCCTTTTCGAGGTCGTGACAAAATCAAGTTAGCTTATATGTAGTAAAACGATGCTGCAAAATACTCTGCATTAATACAGCAGCATGAGGTGACCCGTTGAAACTGAAAACTAGGTATTGGTGCCATGGATATAGGCCTATAAAAGGACGACGGTGTAATGCACCAGTGGCTATCAATTTCGCATTATCTGCACGCTTTGAATGGTGTACAGCACAGCCATGCGTTAATTTGTTTTTCTTCAGAAAATCCAACACAAAACAAAACAAAACATATCAGTCTGACCTTTCAGCTTATTCATATCTTACCGGTTTGTTTTAATAGCGATTCATCGTGCACCAAAGAAAAAGTGATTTAGAGAGGTGACTCGAATTAGCCTCCACCACTAATATTCAGTTTAGAATTAAGTTTGTTTCAAACGTTTGATCAGGGAAGATTTGAAAAGGTTTTTACGCTGATATTCACATAACACTATAACACGGCATTGACGCCTTTCACCATACCATTTGAAAAGAGACATTTCCACCACCAAATTCAGTAAAGTTGACCCAGTTAATAAAAGTACGTCATAACTAATGCACTAAGACAGGTGCGTGTATATTTAGCCTTAAATATCTCATTGTAATTCAGTTGTTCACAAAACGGCTGTTGTTGATGATGCATCTCAAACATCATTGATAATTATGACATAGGCTACTTGCTTAGATGGATGAATATCATACACCACAACCATTATGTTCAAATTGTTGGTAGATATTTCTACGACGAGAAGAGTATACTCTCCGAAACGTTGAGTTTCCCCCGGTTCTTCTCAGAAACTCACAAACTCACAAAAGTGATTTGTCACATATAGTGCTACCGTAAACCATTATCTTATGGACATTTCTAGGTGTGTTTATATGCATTGTAGTGGCCAAATGATGACTACTTTAAATCAAAAGCTCCTGGGGAGGGGGTACGTATACACGTAAATAACCAAGTTACCAATTACAAAACTCATTTTAGAGCTTATTATACCGTCGTGATAAAACTACTACATGCATGCCTTCATGATTCAAAGTTAAAGTTAACAAACTGATAAAATTGCCATATTAATGCCAAAGATCAAGAGGCGTTTCCGAGTCACAATTGTTGAACCTAGTCGGTGGGTTGCACACAGGAGAGGCTTTGCTCCACCTGTGCAATCACATCGGATGTAGCCTCTGTCGCCCCACTCTGTACGTTGATGTCAGCCAGCTGCAAAGTACCAGAACCGTAGGTATCAGCAAAGATGACGTAATCCTTTCCTACATGGACCTGAGTATTGCTACACAAGCCGTAGTCCCAGCCGAAGCCTCCTATGGTGACACTTTTTGGCCCGGTGTCGATCAAGCCATTATAGAAGCACTCGACTTCAAAGGTAGCTGAGTAGATACCGCGGCCGCCTGATCTGGGTGCGTTTGTGCTGGTCACCTTACCCCTGAATACAACCGTTGCTTGTTGAAGCCTATCCTGGAAACTCTCAGGCCTCCAAAAGGCGGGAGGAGAACAGGCGTGGCCAGGAGCAACGGCAGTGGCCAGACAGATCAACAGAATTACACCTACGCCCTGCATGACTGATGTGTCTCAAAAAACCTGTACCAAACAGACGGGAAATAATGAGCTTCCAAAAAAAAAAAAAAAACAGTCAATTTGATTTTCCTTACACACAAAATTGTTTGAATGGCATAACTTAACAAATTTGTCACCATTCCCCACGACTGAAAAAAAACTTACCCTGTTTTGACGAATGAATGAGGCTTGCAACAGGATTGAGAAGTTGTATTTCTGCTCGACCTGAAACCAACGTCTTCAACTGAAGCACAAATCGGACCATTAGTTTTTATATAGAATGTTCATCTCAGTTTGACACCTGTCAATGAAACCTTAAACGCAAAAAGACACCATAAAATACAGTCAGAACTTGAAAATGAGAACATGTATCCGTCTGTTGAGGGCATGTTATTAAAAGGCTGTCAACACTTCTCCATCAGATTATCCTGTTGCATTTTTTGTCTAGCTGGCCTAGACGGAGCCACACGGATGTCGATGACTCGGAAAGAATGCCAACTGAGCAGCACGCTTCTCAGTGGAATACGATATAGATACAAATGATGATTTAAGTGGAACTTGTGCAGTTTAGTTGCAATGGTTTGTACGTTACAAACCAACGCCCACTCGAGAGCGACAGTCAAATTCAGTGAACCTTATGACAGGTATGGGTGACACTTCTGACAAGTGACAGAGAGTGTTGTAAAGATACCACTTAATTAAAAACGGTCCGTCAACACCTGTAGGCCTATCATATTAACAAGGCTGCCAATGTATAGCTACCATTTTATCTGTTGATCGGTATACTGACAACTTGTAGCATGAAAGCCTTAATTATATCGTCTTTACAATTGTATAAACTGGGTATTATTCCGATTTAATGAGGAATCTTTTAAATTTGGTATGGTAAGAGAATAGAGACATAAGATTTTTGTTCGCTGTCTGCGGGCTAATACATTGGATATTATCATTTGAGATAATAATGTCAAATTGTCAGACACAAATTTTTGAAGAATTTTGCACAGTACTGGTTCTTGAGAGACCAGACATGAAGAAGTATGGCTATATACTTACTTTAGATTTATATTTTCATTGATTATTTTGTACAGTCCCGACGGACAATGACCAGGCATGGCCCATGGTATGGTTGACAAGACTTTACAGTCAAGGTGCAGTCTGTAGCTCCACACGTGACACCATGAAGGCCGATACTGAGACAAGGTACCAGGCTAATCACGGAGGATATGAATGATCTAAAATACTGCATCTTTTTCTTTGACATCCAATGGAGTAAGTTGTTGATTTCAACTTTTTAACAATCTTTTTCATCTCAACTGTTTTCTTTAACCTCGTTAAATTTTCGCCGGCAGATGGCGTGTCACACTGCTCAACGGACTATGAATAAAACGAACTACCTGATATATTTTAGATCACTCAATAATATTACCAATGATTGTTATTGGATACATTTTTTTGTCATTGATTCATTGGTCCTTATTGCTGGGATTAATTATTTTTTAATGGAAATTAAATACAAAAGAGGTTATATTATTACATGCCGACATACAAGAAGACAATTAAACTGTCAAAATACTAGTTGTCAGTTCAAGTTAGTGTTCGAATTCTGCCAGCTTAATTTGAAGCTATACACTTGATAGATGACAGAAACTGTGGTTTTCATGAGCTGTTATTTCTTCAGCTCAACTCAAAGACGTTCTCTTGTTTCAATAACAGGTGGTCACCGCAGTTTCGTGTAGTTAAAAAACTTATATAATGGTCGCCGAATATGCATTTGACACCAAATTTGGCAGTCGGCGCGAAGAGACAACGACAAGTAACGTGCAAGAAAACCAAAGTAAGTGTGACAACTTTCAAGGGTGTTTTAAAGGGAATATACATCATTTGCTTTTGCTGTAATTTTCAGAAATGGATGGAATTGGGGGGTTGGAAATATAGAGCAAATATAGTTTCACTGACTTTTTTGAGGTTTGGGGTTCAAAAATGCTATAAAAACCAAGGAAACAATCATATTCCTGTAGTCTGGTTCTCTGACTCCATATAAGAAGAAACAGAGCAGTTTACATACATTGGGGAATTGTAAGGTCAGGGAACCAGTCTAGCTAGCTTGTACCCGTTCATAGGTGTGTAATCGATTGCAAACAAGTGCGATGGTCAATTGGGGCCAGTATTTGAAAAAAAGCCAGTTTTTTCCAACGCTGGTCGGCCGACCAGCGTTGGAAATTGATACAAAAATACCCCTTTTTTGAAAATGATAGTATACCAGGTGCCATGATTTTACAGGATGGGCTTTACACTGTCATTTACTAACAGTCCAGCAAGGTATTTCAAAATGATTTGGTAGTTTTATTTTTTGATGTTGAATGTTGTTTTTTCCCTTTAACTGTGAATTATTTTGTTTTTAAAGTAAGTTTTGAAATTGACATAAATCACTATATAGTGTCAAGAACAAAAAGGCGGAACCCAATATCGAGGACGTAAAAACGGTATCCATAAAAGCAAAATAGAACAGTTTATTGCAAAGGCGAATTGATCTTTTGGCGAATTGATCTAGATTTTTAATCGAAGCTGGGCGAGCCCTGATTTTCTCGATTTGTTTTCATACATGTTCTTATAATTGTTTTCCACAGGGATCAAAAATGGAGAAAACTAGCCTGAAGGCAGTGCTTTTTCTTATTGCGGTCAGTCTGTGCTCAGCATGCACGTATGTCCCTTCACCACCTCAAGGTATCGTGCAGCGCATGTCACGAGCACAAGCCGCCTTCAAAGGTAAAGTCGAGGCGATCCATCCCTGGCCGACCACTTTCCGCTGGTACGCCGGATTCTACAACGCCACCTTCGACGTAGAGTGCGTCTACAAGAACAAAGAAGGGGGTCCTCAAGTCACCAAGACTGTCACCGTGTCTATGTTTGGTGATAACGGGGCCATGTGCTCCCGAGCTGACGTAGAGGTAGGTGAGGAGTACGTGGTGCTTGGTGGGGATCGCTATGATACTGGGGCACTGAAGGTCTGGAACGTCAACTTTCAGAGTGGAGCCGAGGCAGTAACTCCACATGTCATGGAACAGGTGGAGGGCGCCTATACCTGCGAATCTCCCCAAGCCTAATCGGAGCTCTATGCTCGTCATGGACAGGAAAAGTCGTATGATGTCATTATAGAGAGACGAAAAACGGGACCTCACTGACTTAATCTCGCATACAAGTTTACTATGGAGAAACGGCTGTGCATGCATACCCTTTAGGCCTATTCATGGGCGCCGCGAGGGGGGGGGGGGGCAAGGGGGCACTTGCCCCCCCCCCGAAAAAAAAAAAAAAAAAAAAAAAGAGGCACGAAGACAAAGTGGTGTAAATTTAATGAGTTTGGGGAGGGGGGGGGCAAAATGTCCCTGCCCCCGTCTAAAACTGATAAATCGAGAATGTGTTGAGAAATACAAGCATTTTTTGGCCAACAAAATGTTTTGCCCCTCTCTAGAAAAAAATCCTGGCGACGCCCATGGGCCTATTGCAAACCTTTTTTTGTCTTTGAAAGAAATCATACCTCTAACTGCTCCCTTTTTTAGATGATGACAAGACACGTGTTAAATCGATTTAATTTTAACTTCTAATGTCATTTTTTTCAAATAACATTCTATTTTGACAGCTTATTTAGCAAAGTTGTGTTTTTATATCCCAAGGTCATGACTTTTTGTAAAAAAAAAAATACTTATTCAGCAACATATATAGGACACCTGTCAACAAAAAGGGCACTCTTAAGTATTTGGGCGTAAGCGCTGGAGAAAGAAGGGCATTTGAACGGAAAAGAGCAGTATTACAAAATATGTGGGGGGGGGATACCCCCGCTGCTGGCTACGCCCACAATAACTTGAGATGTGCGTGGCATAACCACGTGCATGGAATGAGGGATTGTATATTAATTTAAAGATTTGGTAGACTTCAACGCTCTATAATTGACAACTTTTGATATGATCCCTAACCCTTGTGACATAAGTTAAAAAAACAGTTTATCATTCAATTTGGTTTTTAATGCGAGATATAGATAAAACAGTGAACAATAAAGCGTAAAGCAACACAGTGTGCATAGTTACAAAACATGATAGTCATTTTGTGTCGATAATAATATTATACAAAGGCCGCTTGGGCAAGGTCCATGGCACACCACTACTGAAGCTACATAATCATGGATTAGGTGATTAATGGTCAGTATATAAACCTTGGTTGGTATTTCGAGAGGCATTGAAGACCGTCAACATGCTTGCCTTGACGGGTCTAGCGCTCGCGCTCCTAGCGCTTCCCGGCGTTTTAGGGCAAGAATCGCGCTGCGCCGCTAACGCCACTCACTCCATCCACGACTTCACGCTGACTACGATCGATGGCGCCAAACAGATCACCCTGTCTGACTACAAAGGGAAGATCGTGATCGTCATCAATGTGGCCAGTTTCTGAGGGTTGGTCTTCCAGTACCCCTTGCTGAATGCACTACGCGAGGAGTACCCTGACGACTTGGAGATTCTTGCTTTCCCGTGTAACCAGTTCCGCTTGCAGGAGCCGGGCTCCAACAGCGAGATCATGCCGCTGTTGCAGCACGTGCGCCCGGGCGGGGGCTATGTGCCCAACTTCCCGATGTTTGAGAAGTTGGAGGTGAACGGTGAATCGGAACACGCCTTGTACACGCGGCTGAAGGTGAGTACAAAACAGCTACTTTCCTATTTTTACTGTGCGTCTACCAGCTCAAACTATATGAAATCAAAGTGGTTCATGGCGGTTTGTCCTTAACCAAGATCACAATTGCTCCTCCATCCACTGTATGTTGCTGTCGTGTCATCACATTGTCTGCATCATTAAATGACTATAAGCTACTCTGAATATTTCCAATAATCGCTTTCTGGGGCGAGTTACATCCGTGCTTCAAAAGTGAACTTGTGCCCATGCGTCGAATTTCTGTCAACCATCTTAAATTTGTTTGTTGGTTGTTTTTTTCCTCAGAGTGTCTGTCCTCCCGTGAAGATCGACATCGGCGACCCTGAGCAAATGTTCTGGTCTCCCATCCGCGTAGGCGATATCACCTGGAACTTTCAGAAGTTTCTGATCGACGCTGAGGGCGTCCCATACAAGCGATACAACCCATCGGTGATTCCTGATCAGCTGAAGGACGATATCGAGTTGTTGATTACTATGAGAGATATGGCAACCTCGCCTCCAGAACCTGAGGACAAAACAACACAAAGTAGTGGGGCAGCCGCTCCCAAATTTTGGTAGACGAAAATAGTGTCTTCAAACTGGCCCTTTTTATTATGGGAATCCATTATGTCCTAAATATAAGAACAAATGAATACTAATTGTTTAACAAATTTATAAATGATGTAAGAAATAATTGTAAAAATAATGTTCGTTTGTGCTAAATGTGTTTGATCCTGATTTGGGTACAACATTGACAAACTTTTGATAAACATTTTCTACCAGATTTTTTTGAGAGATTTCGTTATTTCGACTGAATGTTTGTGTCACATCACAGCTGATGACGAGCCGTTTGTAAATGCCACAAAATGGCGGGCGAGCGGTTTTGATGCTTGTTCAAACGTGCATGCTCTTGTGCATTCGGGCATGCGCAGTTCGGACAACTGTGGTCAAGCAGACGCTTGTCGAGCTAACGAAATCTTTGGCTATAAATATTATAGACTTTGTTTATCGATCATTCAATATGAAGTCAAAATTGAAATAAATGTTCCAAAGAACCTGAAAGCAAACGGAAAATATCTGTACTTATAGTTTATTTTTCTGTTTCAGTTTATTTTCGACACTCCCCCTCCTTATTTACGACACTCCCCCTCCTTATTTAGCATGTCGAGCGCATGTTCTAAATCAATCGCGGCTGGCATCATGGCATGACAGTATACTCCCGCATTCTACTTGGTAAAACTCTGGCGATATTTGGTAAAACTTTGCGGACTGAGTTACAAGGGGCCAAAAACCTGCAGTCGGGGATCAAAAATTTGCAAATCGTCATAGATTTTTAAACAACACTGAAGATTACATTTATTATTATTATCAGATGTTACTTGGACTATGCCACTGCTCTGGTGATAAATTTTTTTTGTTATCTGCCTGGATAACAAATGATTGTTGGTGCTATAATAAGTTGTACTGCAAACAGGAACTGTATCAGACTAGGACAACGCCCTCAAGTGGTAAAGGTGACATTTTCAATGCTGCAAAATTCTGACGCGAGAATTTGACAGCTTCGTTCCAGTTTTCGATCAGCAACGGCATCCATTCAGTCATTTATTTTAGACATTATGTTTTCCTTCCTCCATGATTCAACAAAAGACAATTATAATGAAGACAATTTTCTCTCATTCAGTCGTCATTACGACACTTTTAAAATCAAAAAGAATCGCGCGTTCATTATTGACTGTCCTGTTTACTTTTAGCAAACAGCTGCTCCACGTAATAAGACTAATTAGATACCATGGTAACAAGGATCTGTAATAAAATACTGCTCATTACTTTTGCTTCTCATGTTAACACAATGATTTAAAATTTCCAGCACTCACATAACATCCCAATTAGTGCACTGAGCCACCGCGCACCAGCCGACAGAATAGCCTAAGATGAGGTAAAGCCTAAGCTTATATCGTGAAGATGAACATCATTTTAAGCATGTATACACACTGTTGGCAAAACAAAGCAAAATTTAATAGCACCAACCCTACCTACCTGCACCCAAACCGTTCTATAGAAGGAAAAATATGTTTTCAAGATGAACAAGCCTTTATCATAACAGCTAACGAAAACGGAGTTCGATCGATTTGTCCAAACGGTTCCCGTAAATGCTAAATGTGTTTGATATAGTTACATGTAGTAGAAGCATATATCGTGTATGGTGTCTGTTATACCGTGAGTCAACACAAACCTCGTACTAAATGAGAGTGAGCAAGCCACACACATTACTAATGAACTTTTTAATTTGTGTCCGATCAACCTGGCAAAAAGCTCGTACTTATTTTGTATGCCTCTTCCATTGATCCCACTTTAGCAGAAGAATCAACAAAAATTACATAACCATTACAAAAGCCTATACAAAATATAATAGCTATGGTATAGCCGGCGACATCGCCTTTTATAATAGGTACTAGTCGGTGACATCGCCATTCAGTTGCAGAAGAAAGTTTGGAGAGACAAAACGTTTATACAGGTCGTCGCAAGGTACGTGCGTCCTTATGTATGTATTTAGGTTAATTAATATCATTGTTTTCGAAGCTCCTGCTGGCCCTGTGCTACACCATAGAGCAAGTTGTGGCTACACCAACCCTTCACACTTTGAGCTGAGGGTTTTATTTATCATTTTTAAGTAAAAGTAAACATTCAATATTTGTGTAAAAGCAATAGTGCCCCACGGGTGTGGATTAATTATGAGGCTACAAAGTAACTACATGTATATTATGAGAGGTGGGGAAACATTGGTGTGAATCATGAAACAATAAGAACGAGTTTTCTTTTACAATGTGTTGAATTAAAAATAAATTCTCGTTTTTTGTTTTTCTTGGGTTTTTTTTTGGGGGGGGGGGGGGGCAGGGGGTTGTGGGGTTGTTCTTTGCTGAACTTCGTTTGTGTTTGTACTTTTCGTCCATTGACTCAGTGTGTGGGGGCTTGCAATTTGTATTTGCCTCATTTTGATGTCGACTTCTACGTGGGCTCCCCTTTTGTGTCATTAAGAATTATTTTTATGGATCTACTTTGTCATACATTCGTTCATTTGTATCTCTCCTTGCGTAGTGTATATGGTAAGGTTTTGCATTGAACATTTCAGAGGGTAGTTACATCTGCTAGATAGTAATGATAGTGAGCTGTAGTTATAAAAAATCCTCTCCAATGGCTTAATAAAGGAAGCAACATCCTATACTATATGCCGTTGGTATATTCTTGCCAGTTTTACGGCACACTCTGACTCAAATTAAACTGGGACTGTTTTTGTCTGCTATTATACGTAGACTAGCCGAGGTTAATATTTTGTATTAGCAGTTCAGGTCCAGCTTTTAGAAAGGGAAAATTACTGGGTCCTAATTTGGAAGAATGTTTAAATTTGGTAGGTAGTCGAGAAGGATTTCGAGTGGCGAAATAACACTTATTGAAGCATTTCGAGCCATACACTCTGTAATCGTTTCAAGTTACAGACCCGACGTCCTTGTCTTCGTTTCCTAGAGCCCCTCCCAGTCATCACGTGTTAGTCACTGTATCACGTGGTATTGGATACTCATTCGTTATCGTAAATTCAGATATGTATCTATTTTTGTTTAATCTGTTGACTGATGTTGTTTATGGTAGTGATTTATTAATTGATTGATTTTCTTTTGATTTGTATTTATCGTTTTACTAAGAACTATTGTCCCTGTTCAAGTACACATGATGTTTTGTTATGCTTATCTTGTATTAAATCGATTACACAAGTGCTTAAATAACATTCCTTAATAAAAAAAAACAATTACAGTTTATGCTTAATCCAACTCATCCCTAGATGACGTCAGCCGCCATGCTTCCTATCACAACCTGCCTTCTCGCCATGGTTGCCATGTCAAGCGCCCTCACCGACGATCAGATAGCTCGCTTCATGACGTCAGACATGGTCGAGGGCAACACAGGGGAGACAGGAATGGTGACCATTACTACGGCAAATGGCATGCATACCATCACCAGTAACGGGGTACCAGACCATGCTACTGCGGATTACCCAAATTTGGCTAACCCGAATGATATCACAGTACAGACGCATGAATGGGAGATTCCAGTCAACCCTACGGTAGCCGATTCTACCACCGATCTGCCAATGGGACCAATCGGTGTAGCAATCAATGGAATTCCGTTCTTCAACCCTTACACAGCTACAGGTGAGGATCACGATTCAAAATCAAAACAGCGGCTTTATATTACTGTTCAATAAAAAATGTATATACAACCACGAAGCAAAGATAAACTTTGATTCCAAAAATAATTGTTTCCTGACGACTGTTGCATTTTTGTAGGAGAGGATGCCGTGCTTACAGAGACCTTGACAGCTGTGATGGCCACCCAACAAACCGAGGTACCTATCATTACCACAAACAGCCGTCGTCCTGCGTCTTCAGCATCGTTGATGGGGAACCCTCACCGTTGATAGGCGTGGCCCTGGATGGGTTCCCATCTATGGCCCTAATGACGAGAACGGCAATACGCTGACGTCATCAGACCTGGACGAGTGCCACGGCCGGTCCGTGAACGGGCAGTATCAGTATCACACCACGAGTGATTTCCCGTACATAATGGGATGTTTCAAAGGCGAGTACACGAGCACTCTGCCCCAAATGGGCCCCCTGATGGGTCCCAGGGTACAAACATGCCCCCAGACAACGGCCAAGCAAATTTGAAAAGCAGCTTACTGGCTATTATTAGTGTGTTGGCTCTCATGGTCGCGATATTCTAAAGATAATAGCGAATGATCCGTTCAAAGGTTTCACTCCCCATTCAACCACAATATTACAAGTAATTCAAACTCTAGTTTTATCTTTTGACGAATGCAAGGATTACGGACATTCTGTTATTAATTGATAAATTAATTCAGTATCAATGAATTCATTCTGGTAACAAAGTTTTACTTTAAACATTTACTCGGAATTTGTTCACTTTATTTGTATTTATTTGATTATGTTTTTAAGTTTATGTTAATGCAATTTGTTTGGATATAATTTTAAATGACGTCAGCATTTATGAATAAAAAGATATATATAGTAGCATTAATAAATAAACTTACAGACGGCAAGTTTCCTAGTTCCACTTTTTTTTAATTACAAGTTTGTTTTAAGAGTTAAGATTATTAAGTAAAGTTGGGAACCGATACATGGTTTAGTAATTTGGTCAGAGTTTTATCAGCATATTTTGGTTAGATCAAGGTAGTATCAGTCTGCGGTGCAAACTATGTGATGTGACACGTACCGGTGTCATATTTAGTATAGCGCGTAAGATATGTGAAAACGTCCACCGGATACCATAGCTGTTTGTGAAATGTACTGGGGCACCTATCAAATTTCAAGTGCACCTTCATCAGGACCATTTTAGTTGATAATTCATCACCGACACCACGAAGTAACACTCTACCGTGTTAAACCATATTTTTTTCGATTTTCAGTTTTTTTTATTTTTAAACATTATTCATCAAGGCCTACCTTTGTACGAAGTTTCAAAGCTTCAAGAGCTTTACTTTAATAATTACGCCAAGTATCCATGGCAACTTTTGCGTGAAAGTGACAATTTTCGTTTCCACGAAGTAACACTCAAGTATCCATTAACCATTGCAATGCATGGCGCGCACTCTGCTCATTAAGACAAAAAGTGAGCAAAAACGTTTTTACGAAGTAACACTCTTCTTGTAATAAGTAATTTGTATGAGCGCGCGCGCGCTGACCTGAAGTTGCACTTTCCTCGTGTTGTATACGTTGAAGAGTGTTACTTCGTGAACAAGAAAATTTACAGTTTTGCAGCTTTTTCGGTTTCACGAACTAACACTCATCTTTTTTCTCTTATTTCTTGTTTATTTAATACACAAACGGGTGAAAAACAGCAGATTTAATAAATTCAATTTATCAAGTATCCACAACGAGAAACCCAACTGAAAATACTCTGTCGTTTTGACGCAAAGTGTTGTTTTAGAAGGCGTTCAACTATAGTTGCCGTTTTCTCCGATTGCTAGTTTTTACTGGTATGTAGATGGGTGTTACTTCGTGGTGTTGGT